AGTATTTTGAATAGTTTTATTAGTAAAATTATGCAAAATACAAGATTACTCAAAATTTTACTAATTAATACAGTGCAGAACACTTGGAAATGACAATAAAAATAGCTAATTTTTAAAAGCTAATAGCTTATACTACAAAAATAATATAAAAAAACAGAAGCTACTATTTTGTAGCTAAGATAATTTACTACAAAATAGTGGCTTTGGCTTTAAAAAATAATTATTTGTTATTGAGTTATTAGAGTTTAAAAATATTGTATTTTTATATAAACAACCCAAAATAGAATATATAGCAAAAAAATTAATGACCTATTTTTTTATTTTATATAAAAAATATATTTATAATTTTAAAACAATAATTTAAATTATATTTTAGCTTATAATTTTAGTAACTTTTAGTTATTAATAATATAAATTTATATAATTATTTTTTTATTAATACATCTTTTGTATTAATAACCAATCAAATTATAGAAAATTTAACCAATCAAAATTTAGTAAATTAAAAAGATTAAAAATTAACTTTTTAAAAGATTTAAAATTTTTAAAATTAAATGCAAAGTCAAAAACTTCACTCTCATCTTTCAACTCTCTTAATTAGTATTAAATAATATTACACTATCTACTCTCTCTCTAAACTCACATTACCCAGATTCTCTTCTTAATATCCCTTTAATTTATAATATACTTCCTCCAAAGCCTATATACTTCTACAATTAATAGTTTGAGAAACAATCATCTACTTTTTATTAAACAAATAACAACTGCAAATAATAAATTTATTCTACCATAGAATAATATTTACTTACGCACAAATAAATCTACTAGATGCCAACCCTTATAGTTTACTAACATCCTCTAATTAATACAAAATAATACAATTACATTAACATGGCCCTCCTTGCAGCTACTCTTGATTAACTTCTTTATTAATACAACTAATCTTATCTCTCTGCTATTCTTCTCTAATTCTTCTACAATTCAATATCTACATATTAACAGCCACAATGATCTCTTTTTTACTTATCAATCACCACATTCACAATTACAACATTTAAACTAATTACTATCAATACTGGATATACACAATTACTACCAACTGACCCATCTTCTTTTTACACATTGTCTTCATTTAATCTTCCCTATAATATAACAAACAAATTAAACAACCCACTTTTTATTCAGATCGACTACAAAGAAATTTTGTCTCTAATTAATATAGTCAATATCAATAAAAATATATACCCTCCTCAAATAATTTCTCAAATTAGCATACTTACACAGGAAATTCAACTAATATAACATTTAGTTAGCTCAATAACTTACCAACAACAACTTACAAATCTTTTTTTACTTATTCAAAACCTTAACTCTCATGATCTTCACTTTTATACTGATGCATCAGTTCAAAATCTACAATCACCAAACATCAAAGCTGATATAGGCTGGGTTTGTAAAAACAACATATCTATTAAATTTAATGCAGCCACTATCTCTTATCCAGATACAACACCAATTGAGCTTAAAGCAATTATCTCTCTCCTTCTTGTAATATCAAATAATACTCACATAAACATTCACATAGACAACAACACTGCAATCAAGAATCTAAAACAAATATATAACTCCAAGTCTATATAAAATCAAAATTGGGATATTATACTTATTATTCATGAAATTAAATGTACTAAGAATATTACTTTTACTCTTCATAAAATTAAATCATACTCTAATGCACACCAAAACTAAGCAGATCTGCTTGCTAAACGAGGCTCTAACAAAACTATCTTGAAAATATCTCATAACTACATCAACTTACCAATCCACTTTTTATAAAAAGACTACCTAATTCCTTTTAAAGCATAAACCTTTATCAAAAATATATTCACTATACAGGAACTCTATTCATGGTCTTTACTTAAAATCTTCAAAAATTTATCAGAAATCGAATGGGCAACATGTTTTAATATCTTAAATTCTATTGTATACAACTCCTCAAAATATACTTTTAGAACTAAAATTCTAACTAATAACCTTCCAACTATATTATTGCTCGGTTTGTTTTTACTATCTGAATTGCATGTACAAGCATTGTGGCTACTTTGACCATATATTCTACAATAACGCAATGTATTCTCATAATTAAGATCCTTGTCAGCTGTGATATATAATAATTGGCATTAATATTACTATTCTCTTCTTGAATAATGTAAATTTTTAACTTACTCATGCTTGATAAACTTGAACTCTCAACATAATTCCTCTGCATACTGTCCATCTGATTAATTGAACCATCCAAATTGCATGTACATGTATTGTGCCCTATTTGGCTACAAGTATCACAATGATGAGATCAGCTTTCTTGACTTTCTTAGTTTGTAATCTCTTGCAATTGCTTTCTATACATATTCAATGTATCATTATGATTTATCTAAATTGTGTTGCCTGTTTTTGACTTAAGTATATCCAAATTTGCATTCTTTCATTTTCGACCTTTGGAATGAATGCCAACAGGATTATTAATCGTAGTTACAAAATTATCATGATTATTGTCTGTCTTGAGTCCCATTTCTATTTCTTTCATTATATCAAGGTGCATTTCATATAACTCTTCATACTGCTCCATTGCAATTAATAAATCGAACACCTTTTTCATAATGTCAAATTCTTTGCCCCATCATTGCTTAAATAACATTTCTTTGCAAACCTTATTGGTAAAAACATGACTCCTACGAATTTTTTCAATATACTCAAAATTGACATGAATATGATGTTTAAACGATCCAAAATTATTATCATATATTGCCAAAATCGCTAGCTGATTTGCAACATCTATCTCTTTTTCATACACTATCTTGTCCAAAAACCATCTATTAGATATGAGCCCAATATAAAATTTTGCAACTTTTGATACTAGCATCACTATGAAAAAGTGCCGGCAAACAACTCCATGATTAATTAGTATCAAACAGGTGCAAAGATGCATTGCCTCATCATATAAAACTACAAAATGCTGGCTCTTTGCATCAATAGATGAAACTTTCCAAATTTCATGAATACATTCATAGTCTAAGTCACTAAGTAGTTCTTCTAGTTCAATGACAAATGCATCAAACATATTGTCAGTGAACATTCCAGTTGATACTTCATTAGTTATTTAAAAAAAAAAAAAAACAGTTTTAATCTAACAAATTCTATTCGAATGTAATTGTGGGTAATAATTTAATTATTTATTCACACAAAGTAATACAAAACAAATACAAATAAACCTTTCCTATACTATTAATGAGAACTTGCAGTAAAAACTATGTTAACATATAAAATATACCTAACATTAAAATTCATCTACCAAATCGACTAGCTGTGCTCGATAATAGATATTGCAGTTCATTTCACAACGCTGAATTTTAAGAATTGCTACTATCAAAAATTTTTGACATGACTCATCAACCAACTTAAAATATCTATCATAATAATTCTTATTATGAATCACTAGCAGTACACCTTTAACCTCATTAAAATGTTGATACCTATCCTCTTTAATAAATAACTTCTCAATTGTGTTACTCAATTCAAATAGAGATGAAGAGCCATTGACATGTTTTTTTATAATACCGTTGTATGATTCAACCTGCTGAGTAGTTTGTACACTGGCATTAAATAACCTATATGTAAAACAGAGCACCCATGCTTCCCAGCAGGGATAAAGCTGTCATTCTATATATAATGCCAATTCAGGATACTTTTGTATTAGATCTCTCTAATGTTTCTCAAATATAGATTCCACATGGCTATTTCATGTATGGCAAAATTCTCTAAAAAATTCTCTCCACTTTTCAGCCTTATACATACTCAGAAAACGTTTTTCAAGATTTTTTCATATATAAAAAAGACAAAAATGATGTTTTGTAGTTAGTAATGTTGCGTTTACAGCAGCAACCATAGCACAATCAGTGTCCGTAAATAGTACTTTTGGTGCTAAACTATTTGTTGCCTTGAGCAAGTTTTCTAAAATCCATAAGAATGTTTCTGTTATCTTATCTGAAATAACTGCGGTTGCTACTAGATATGAATGGTTGTGATTGTTAATAACTATTAAGACACAAAACATCATAGAATAATAGTTTGTTTTAAATATTGTATCCATGAGAACCATGTCATGAAATCTACCCTACAATTGTATTTAACTGGGTGTCATCCATATAAGAGCAACTAAATGATTATTTTTCTCTTCAAACTTTGTTTCAACAAAATAACCAGGATCATTATGTTGTTTTTTAATCAATTCCAAGTATGTGTTGCCTGTATCACCTGCAACACGACTTTCATAATGGATTATCTGTATCATGTTATATACATTATGAGCATGAATGTATTTTCCAAGGTTTTTTTGTTATAGAACCTCGATAATTAAACTGGCTCTAATGCCTTAAGACGCGAGCAATCTAATATCATTCTGCATCTCTGTTAATCTTCTATACCTTAATTTAACCATAGTAATATTTTGAATCATATCATGATTATGTGTACCAACAATACTTGAAATACGGATTTGGTTATCATTTTTCTACCAATATAGATTTACATGAAAGGAACAACCTATGGTTTTATGACTCTGATCCCTCTCATCAAGTATATGTGCTTCTTTATATAGCACATATCTTTGTTCTTTTGTACACGTATAGACATGCTGCCGAGATGTCTCATCAGATTTGTCATTTTACTGTGTGTAATACTAAATGCAAAGCCCAATTCCTGACTATGACGTTCTAACTAGCTATTGAGATTATATAAGAAAAATAATGATTATTCTTTAAAAAAACGGTAAATTCAAATGGATCTTTTTTTTTAACATAAACACACTTGTCAACAGCTTTTCAAGACTCGAAAATCTAACTTTTGACTAACGGATAGGCAAATCTTGTATTTTTTTCATGTTCTTCATGATTACCTAATTCTGATTCATTGTTATCATCCATCCCTTCATCATTGTAAAAATCTCAAGAGATTTTGTTATCGTTCATATCGACACTCATAAAACTTTCATTATAGTTTATGTTGACACTCATAAAACTCTGATTATTATTCATGCCAAAATCATTATCAACATCGAAGAAATCCAAGTTATCCATAGCTAACAGTGAGGTGCTTAAGAGAATATTAACTTATAAAAAGAAACCTACAAAAAAATAGTAACAGAAATAGAAGTGATGACAATTTATAAAACATGTGACTCAGGAAAAAAAGAGGTATTAAAAAAAGGCAACACAGAGAAAAATACCAGATAAAGAAGTTAGTTTAGAAAAAAAAAATAGTTTAGAAAGAAAGGCAAACTGAAAAAAAAAGGCAAATCAGAAAAAAAAAACCTGGAAGAAAATATAATTTAAAGGCTATATATGACAAAAAAGAAAAAGTGAAATCAATATAAAAGAAACAGTAAAAGCAAGAAAAAGAAATCACGGTGAAAGTGACACAATAAAAGCAAGAAAGCGACCAAAAAAAGCAAGAAAGCGAAACAAAAGAGACCGTAAACCTACCAAAAAAAAAAGGTACAATGAAAAGCAACTAAAAAAGCATATATATAGCTAACTTCTTAGATAAAATATAGCATACTCACTAACAATATTATAAATTATAGAATCTAGGTGAGTTTTTAACTACTCTAGTAGGTTTAGGTTGCAGATAAATTAGATTTTAAAGTCTATAGTCTGAGTCTCATTCTTGTAAAAATATTTG